AGCAATGCAAAGCAATAATCAAAACATGTTAATGATGCATAAAACTTGAGATTCGATTATGGAAAAGAATGGTAAACCGTGTGACTGAAGTGAGGGATTCTTTGAGTGTTAGAGCTTGTTTTTGATTGCAAATTGCTTCTGAGTATGCTAGCAACGCGTTTGAATCAAGAAAAGGGTTTGAATTGTGCTGGAAGGTTGATTTCAGTTTTCAACTTTTTCTTGATTTTTTGGAATGTGGTTATGGTGTTTGATAGCAGCTTGCACGTGAATGATTTTAGGTTTTGCTTCAGCATATGTAGTAGAATGAAAACTAGGGTAAATCTTGGTCAAGAATCCATTGTATTCATGTTTTGCATCTTTGATTTCAATCAAATCTTTTTCAACCTTTTTGATTGAGAAACCTTGCCAATCATGGAGATTTTGATGTCCTTGATGTGTACACGAATTGCCAGCTTGCCCTAAGTGTATTTGCATCACAAAAAGATTTGAAAACCATATCTTTTGAATTTTCCTACAATTAAAATCAATTAAATGAATTAATATTAATAAAAATTAAATTAATTAATTAAAAATAATAAAATAAATCAATTTAAGCTTAATGGGTCGTGCATAGGCCTTGGGAAATGTTTCAAGAAAGAATTTGAGGCCCATTAGCAAAAATGAAGTGTTTTAGGCAAAGTTGACTTTTACGAATTCCCAAAAATTTCCCAACTTCTCCAATGCATATCTTGCTCAATTTTGAAGCTATGAACATGTTCTTGGACATTTTGGAAAGGTATTGAAGTCCTATAACCAATGCCTTTGGTCCCATGTCATTTGGATTTACCAATCTCAAGTTATGGTCTTTGACTTAAAGTTCCTTTTTGTTGACTTTTGAAAATGACCTATAATGTAGAAATTGATAACTTTTTGTGAGAGCATTTCTTGGACTTGGAATGTGAAGATGAGTTGTAGTAAATGTCATCCCCTTCAAAATGAGCATTGCATGGGATTTTTATGATGAACCATAAAAATTTTATGCCTTGGTCAAGTTACAGTTGACTTTTTCAACTGTCCAAAAATAGAAACTTTTGCATCTTGATGATTTTTGAGCCATGCTTGTGGAATCATGATCAAGACTTGATCAAATGATGATTCTGGCTTCAAAATAAGATGTTGACCAAAAAATTTGACTTTTGACTGTCAAATGACCATTTTACCCCTACAGTTGATTGTGAACCAAATAGGGCTTTTGACTGTGGACCTTGATGCTGTGAGACTTGCAACTTGGCATGTAGATGCTTGACAATGCATATAGGCCTATGGGACTTGTTTGGACCACTGAAAATATCAAATTCTTTGCAAGAACCAAAACCCTAATTTGGACTGGCTTAGGAGATGTCTGAACTGTGCAACCCCTTGAGTATACTTGAGCAAATTGAGATGATGCTTGTCAAAACATTGAAGAATATGGGAGGGCAAATTTTGGGGTACAACAGGATCTACTGGTGTTGACCACGTGGTGCATGGTGTGCATGTTAGACCTGCAAGCATGGGATATGGAATACAATTGTTAGAAAAAACAAAATGCATAACCTGGTGTCGAACCCAGGTCCTTCCCCTTAATTCGAACTCCCCCTAATTCGAACCCCCTGAGTCCGAATCTGGGTTGTTTTGTCTTGAAACTGATTATATCATGAGCTTCAAAAGCAAATTCAGATCGTGTCCTAACAATGGCACGATCTTATTCCTGCACATTATCTTACATGTAATACGTTCATACAAACACAAACAATATTAGCAGCACAAATATGCAAGCAATATGTATTTAAATGGCCTAGAAATACAATTTTGATTTTGTAAATCCTTACCAATCGGAGATGCTTCGATCTGTAACCCTGGGCGTGGAACAACTCATGTAAGGGCTTGGGTGGCTTCTTGGAAGTCTCAGAATAATGATTTGGGCGTTAGTTTAGATTGATAAGGCATGTGATGCAGGTTTTGAATTTTGACAGCTTTATGCAATTTTGAGAATTTTGATATGGTTTTCTGAGGTAGTGTGTGGTGATTTGAGGTACTGTCTGCTGTGGCTCTTTGAGGAAATTTTTTTGTCTCCCCTTCTTCTGATTTGGCCTTGTATTTATATAGGGATGTGGTGGTGAACAAATATGGCATGAATCAGCTATTAATCATGGCTTTGAAAGCAAAATCGAAAGATTTGAAAAGTTGCCATTTTGATAATTTTCTTGCCATTCTTGAAACATAATGAACCTAGACATGTTATGGTTGGTGTCTTGCTCGAATTTGGGCTTCGAGCTAATCAGTCCAAGTCCAACAAGCTTTATCCCATTAGGTTTTCGTTTCGACTTGCATCTCCATTTCACATCAATTGATTCTTTCGACAAGCTCCCAAGCTTTGTTCTTTTCAAAGGCTCTGAATTCTAATTCGAATTGCTCAAGGCTTCATCATCATGGCTTCTTTGTCTTAGTCACCATCTGCATCAATTGTGTAATCTGGAAACCCCTCATATCCAATCAGCCTAGTCGAACTCAGTTATTGTTCCTTTCGATCTCCTTTCCTTCAATTCGACCAATCGAAGTATCACCTCTTCATCTTGACTTGTCGAAGCTTCGTTCTGTTCTTTTCGATCTCCCTTCCTTCAATTCGACCAATCGAAGTATCACTTCTTCCTCACTATGCTTGAAACATATTGATCCAAAAGCTCTAAGATGACTAATATTTGGCTCGACCCTAACGGTCCTTTTATGAAATCACGCCACGTTCGAAGGTTGCACGTCCTTCGAACCATTAGACTTCCACGTGTTTCTTCAAAGCTTTTGAATTCAAAATCCTCAGTCGAAAGGTCTTTCCTTGTAATGCTTCGAATATCTTATAATTTAATAGTTCAAAAACAAACCCTTCGATAACAGTTCAGCATAATGAAGCTCTTTACTAGCTCTTCATCAATCGAAGACTTCATAAAAGCCCCCTCGCACTTTCTTTCAAACTATTCTTTCTTCGATCATAGTGTTAATTATTCAAAACTTGTGTAATCTAAATTCCCAGCTAACACTTCTTCGTTGGGCATCTAATTAGAATGCATACTGCTGTCAGAGCTGCTTCAGCCCAAAAATCTCTTAGACATATTCTTAGCTTCCGACATACACCTCGTCATGTTTCGTACACTTCTTTTCTTTCTTTTTGTTATGCCATTAATGTGAAGCGTATAGGGTGCCATAGAAATCATTTGAAGCTTTTGCAAACCAAAATTCTTTGTGAGAAATGAAGCCCTAGATGGAAATCCATTGCTTAAGAGGAGAATTTGTCTGGTCAATTCTTGGTCAACCTTGAGCAATTGGAGACCTCAATGCGCATGCCTTGAATAGAATGGGAGGGCAAATTTTGGGGCACAACACTGGAGAAGTCATAATAGCTCATATCTATTATTAATGAAGGGAAGAGAAAGATGAACTAAAGAGAGAAGGAAGGGAATAAGGGTTTCTTGGAAAGGAAAAAGAGAAAGAATTGACGGAAAAGATATGGGTTGGAAGGGTTGTTTGAGAAGTCAAAATAGATTGTATCGGCCATTGAAAAAAATAAAGATGGATCGTGGAGAGATAGAAAAGTATCAGGGTTTCTTGGATGGAAAATACATAGAAAGAAATGCTGGAAAATATAGGGGTTTGAAGGGTCGTTGGAGAAGTCTGAATAGGCTGTATCGATCATTGAAGGGAAAAGAAAGTCTAATCAATGAGAGAAGAAAGAGGATTATGGTTTCTTGGAAGGAAAAACGAGGTAAATAAATGTAAGAAATGAAGGAAAAGAGAGAAAAAAAGAGAACAAAAGACAAGAGCAAAAGAGTTTTTTTTTACCCTCGTACCATATTGAAATTTCACATCTCCAAAATAATACAATTATTTTATTATCAAAATTTGACTAATACAAAGAGATAAATCGTGTAATTATACACCATTAAAGAATAGTCTAACCTAGGGGTGTTCAAAACCAAGTTGGTCCAATAGAAAACCGCTAACTGACCCAAATCGAACTGAAACCGCAAAAAATTGTATTTGGTTCGGATATGTTTGAGCCATTTTTTAACAAAATCGCACAGTTTTGTTTAGTTTGTGGTATTTATTTTACAAACCGAACCAAACTGTATTATGTTACAACTCAAACTTCACTTAACTCACATTCAACCCAAAGTCAAACCTATTATATTTTAACCTTACAATTACAAATGATTTTCTCTTCCTCACACTTAAGGTTTCAGTTTAAGTCTTCTCAAATCTCTCACAGCGGTATCACATCTTCTTCTCTTCTTCTTTTCCATGTACATCTCGTCTATTCTTCTCTGGTCTCTCATCTCTTATATTTTTTTCATCTTATTATTTTTATTCTATTGCTCTCTCTTCTAATTATATTTTTAATGCATATCTTCTTATCTAATATCTCCTCTCTTATGCTCTTTCTTTTTCATTTTCTCTAATCTTTCATCTCATCTGTTTTTTCTATTTCATTATAATATTTTTCATATTGCTTTATGTTACTATTTTATGTTTTTTTATTCCACTTTTCTCTAATCATATTTTTGTATATTAAATAGAAAGTTATTGTCCAAATATCATATTTTTATTTTTATTTGATAACACATAAATGACTAAATACAAATTTATGTCGTCATCTATATGTATATGTATGACTCAATAGTTTTTTTTATAAAAAATCAAACCAACCGAATCAATGAAAACCACATTTATTTTGTTTAATTTGATTGAGATTTATACTTAATCGAACCACATACTTTTTTTTCTTGCAGTTCAGATGATTTTTTACGTCAAAATTTCTCAAACCACATCGCAAACACCCATAGTTTAACATGTATTGTAAAAAAAAAAACTTAAAACAAACTAATAGATTATTTTCTTATGATATATAGCCAGATTTATTTCTACTTAAATAACTAGAGTACCAAAAGAAGAGAGATACATGTTCTTATCTAATCTAATACAGTAACATTCTAGAATGGTCGAACTATGAGAGGAAGTCCATGATTGGGCCTAAGAGACAACATGATAGTAGGAGAATAGTGATAACTAGGAGAGATTTTAAAATTAAACTTAGAGAGAAGTAGTGTTAGCACTATCTTATATTCCATGAAAGTTAAGTTTCTACCAACACATGCTCTTCCTCCAAAACCAAAAGGCAAGTACCCCATTTTGTTGTTGGATTTCCCATTTACATCATTCATAAATCTCTCTAGTTTGAACTTGTTGGCATTAATCCCCCATATTGTAACATCATGGTGCATTGCTACAACATCAATCCAAATATTTGTCCCTTTAGGCACCTTTAAATTATTAACTTGAATATCCTCCATAGTTTGCCTTTGCACATTTGGAGATGGTGGGTAAAGTCTAAGTGCTTCACTCATCACCCATTTCATCTGCATGTATAAAAAAATTACACACATTTAAAACTATGATATAGAGACACATATTTAACTCATATTCTTTTTCCTATAATATAACAAAAGCCACAAAATTTTGAATTCAAATTACCTTCTTTAAATTAGCAAGCAAGTTGATGTCAAGTTCTTCAACATTACCAATCACTTGTTTAATTTCATCTCTCAATTGGTTTTTCCAATCTTGATGCAAAGCTAGAAGTAGCAAAGTCCATGTGATTGAAAGTGATGTTGTTTCATAGCCACCAAAGAAAAATGTCTTGCACTCATCAAGCAATTCCTTTTTTTGTTAATGTCTTGTTCAAGTTTCCATCAATATCATGATTTCCTTTCAACAAATGACCCAATAAATCTTGTTCATGTTGTTTCTTATCATTTGAATTCATCCTATCTTCTATGATGGATAACATGAGCTTGTCAACTTCTTCACCAATTTTCTTTGCTTCTAATGTTTTCTTCAAATTAAATAATTTTTCAAATGGAACCCCAACATATTCATTGGTCTTAAAAAGGATCATCTGCAAAGTTCTTAATTGATTAAAAACTAATTTTCCATTTTCACCTCCCATTCCAAAGCTTGCTTTTGCTATGATCTCTCCGGCGGTTGCTACAATCTCATTTTCGACATCGATTTCAAGGTTGCCGGAGTTAATTTGGGTATCCCACCTTTTGATCATTTTCCTGGTGGAATAAACCATCATGCTTGCCATTGTCTAAAGAGAAGAAAAATGTTAAACATAGTTAGAATATGTTCGTTAACATAATATTAATAAAAAAATATGTTTGTATTCAATAATCTACCACAACAAAATTATTTTCTTTTATATGATATACTTTTATTCCTTGGACTCATATCTCAATGTATACCTTTCTTTTGTATAGTAATTAAAGTAGTTATGTTTAAACAAAATCAACAAGACACAACTATTAAACAAAATCAGATCAACAAGACACGACTATTAAACAAAATCAGAGAGAGAGAGAGAGTGTGTTAAACCTTAAGATTAAGTGGAGTAAATGTCGGGGCTATAACATGTCGATGATGGACCCATGCGGTGCCTTCAGCCATCACCAAACCATTTCCAACCATTGGTTCTCTATCTTTTCTAAAAACACTTGGTTTCCCCCATTTCTTAGCCAAAACCTTTGAAGACATTATCTTTAAGAATCCAGGATCAACAATATATAAAAACGACTCTGTCCCCAACCAATAAATGAAAACTTTCCCTATGAACCAAAATAACAATGCATTATTCAACATAAATACATATCTATCACTATTAAAAAAAATATAATTGATTTGTAAAATGGGATTCCTAGTTTACCAAAATATTTTTGCCAGGAATAATAATAAGGAGAAGTGATAGAGTGAATGTTATGAGTGATATCAAATGAAGAAGAAAATGATGAATTTCTTTTCATTTCTTTGATGTTTCCAAATGGAAAACAAATCCACATTTCTTAAGTTTTACAAGTTTGTGGTTAGGTAAAACCCACCAAAAATATATTAGTATAGTAAGCAAGCAAAGACATATAGCTAGTATAATTGAAGTGGGTACAAAAAGAATTTGTGATGATAATGCTACAAACTTCATCGTTCTTTTTTCTCTTTCTTTCCTTCCCACTTTCAACTGCTTATATATAGGTGCACTTGTGAAGTGAAAGCATAATCCAAATTTGGGTAAATATGATACGATAATTTATATGTTACGGCACTAAAAATTATTGTTATAATGATGAAAACAATGGAAACAATTGTAATGTTTTTCAAACGTGATTGATGTGTATTGTTTGTGTGTAATTATTATATTTTAATTTATAGATATATTTAACTTAAATTTTAATTTGGTACACAAGTTGGTAGTATTAATAAAAAATTATAATAATTCAACTTATATAATAATAATAATAATAATAATAATAATAATAATAATAATAATAATAATAATAATAATAATAATAATAATAATAATAATGTTTTCATAATGTTGTTATTTATGATATGAAAGTTGCTTGAAATAATTTTTTAAGGGACTCAGTCATTATTTAAGAAAACAAATATATATATATATATATATATATATATATATATATATATATATATATATATATATATATATATATATATATATATATATATATATATATATATATATATATATATATATATATATATATATATATATATATAAAATTTTTTTCTCTTTCTTTCCCTTCCACTTTCAACTGCTTATATATAGGTGCATTTGTGAAGTGAAAGCATAATGCAAATTTGAGTAAATATGATACGGTAATTTATATGGCACAACACTAAAAATTATTCTTATAATGGTAAAAACAATGGAAACAATTATAATGCTTTTCAAACGTGATTGATGTGTATTGTTTGTGTGTGATTATTATATTTTAATTTATAGATTTATAGAT